CTTTCTTTCTGGATTACACGGATTGGAGGAGGTGGAGACCCCAAAAATGAAAAATCATGGCAAATTCAGGTTGGTAGGACAAAGAGAAAGTGGGTACCCGTGATTCAACAGCACACTGATGGAACCGCCATATGAAAAGGTGGACAAGATCCAGCCCAGATTTGCTGCTTCAGTGAAGTATTTTGGATATACCCAGACCATAGAAATAGAAATATAAAATAAAAATGACTAACATTTATGAAGCGCTTGCTATGTGTCAAACACTGTTCTAACTACTTTCTACAGATCATTTCATTTTAGTTCCCACAAATATCTTCTGTGGTAGGTATTATTATTGGCCACATTTTACAGTGAGGAAAACTGAGTCCAGAGTGGTTAAGTAACTTGCCCAGGTCATATAGCTCTTGAATGGCAGAGATGGAATTTGAACCCAGGCAGCCAGAAGTCCTAACTTGTCTGTTCTGCCTCTGGTCTCTCTCTGTGCTCTGAATTCATGATAGTGACTGCAGCACTTGGTTATGTGTCCAGGCAAATATTTACTGTTTTACCAGCTAGACCGAAGCCCTCTGCCTTCCGGGATCATAGCTTAAATTGGCCTGTTCATTGCCTAGAACCCTGGATGCCCATGAAATTCAATAAATATTTGGCGGTTGACTGCATTTAGGGTAACTTTAGGGATGTGTATAACTCCTAAGCCTCCTCAAAATGTTGGATGTCTAGAGTGAGGTGCAGATGGAAGAGAGGTAAAAGAGGTTTCTAGGCATAATCTCGTTCATTTACAACATTATAAAGAACTTGATCATTTAAAAATTAACGACATCATGTAAATCAGATCTTACTGAGTGTTGCAGCTTACCAAAAAGAAAAATGTTCTAACAGGAAGTATTTCTTGCAGGAGATGTGTCACTATGTCTGCATACACAAACAGTACACAGCTGGGGAGACATTAAAATCTAGAAAACTCCACTCCCTTTTCCAACAAACTGATAAGTAAATAATAGATGACTAATGCATACATAATAGAGAAATCGTAAGTGATAATATAAAAATTATAAAACCAGGCTAACTATAACAACATATAGATCATGGAAGGAAGGAAGAAAAGTTAGTTGGCATGTACAGACATACTGATAAGTGAAGTCGGCCCTGATCACATGAAAAAGTTACATCTTTTTGGAGAAAAGAAAATGGTATTCTGGGGCCAGAAACGGTGGCTCATGCCTGTAATTTCAGCAATTTGGGAGGCCGAGGTGGGTGGATCGCCTGAGGTCAAGAGTTCAAGACAAGTCTGGCCAACATGGCGAAACCCTGTCTCTACTAAAAATACAAAAATTAGCTGAGAGTGGTGGTGCATACCTGTAGTCCCAGCTACTCAGGAGGTGAGGCAGGAGAATCGCTTGAACCCGGGATGCGGAGGTTGCAGTAAGCTGAGATCATGCCATTGCACTCCAGCCTGTGCAACAGAGTAAGACTCTTTCCCAAAAAAAAAAAAAAAAAGAAAGAAAGAAAGAAAAAGAAAAAAGAAAAGAAAATGGTATTCTGTGGTCTGAGATAAGTCATGGTACGTGTTCTGTTTATCTAAATTGGGTTGAAATTGTTCACTAGTGTCATGACCTTAAAGGGCTGTTTGACATCTCTGGGCAAAATGCAATTAATAATACAGAGATTAATCTGTATGGCTTCTATTTCTTTTCAGCAAGGCAACAGGAAGTATGTTACTTATCTATTCTGTGCCTCACTTCCTCTTATATAATACGTGGATTACAGTCGTTCTACATTATAAAGTTGTTGGGAGGATTAAATGAGCTAATACATGTAAAGCCTTTGCAATAGTGATGGATGTAGGTACTTAATAAATGTTAGCTATTATAATATCACACAAAATGCAAAAATAGTGAGAACATTTCATGTGTTCTATAAATATAAGAGATCATTTTGGCCAGAAGATGAAGGACATCTTCGAAATAAGCTATGTGCCTAAAAGGAGAAAAAAGTATTCTTCTTTGGTTGATGTTAGCATATGCTTCTTTAGTCCAAGGCTAAGTTTGTTGTCATCCCCTAGTAATGGCAATGCTATTATTATTGAGTTTTTCCTTGATCCTGGCACTGTGCTAAGGAATAGCTCATTCTATCCTCATAAACACAAAGCAATTTTTGTGAAATAGAAACTACCAGTATCCCCATTTCACAGACTAGGAAACTAACACTCCAAGAGGTTAAATGACTTCCCAAGAAAGAGAAAGTGGCAAAATTAAGGAGTCAGAAGCCCAGGCTGTTTTCTGGAGTCTAATTTTTTTTCTTTAATATAAAAATCATAAGTATTTGGCTGACCCTTAAGAGATATAAATGTATTATTTCTATTTAGGAAAGATTTCCAATTTATTAGGTCTCTTATGAAATTATATTCTAATTTCCTAAGTATAAAAATTCAGGATTACTGGGCATGGTGGCTTGCCCAGCAATCCTGGTTTTCTATACTTAGAAAATTTCACATGGTGAAAACCCCATCTGTATTAAAAATACAAAAAATTAGCAGGGCATGGTGGTGGGTGCCATAATCCCAGCTACTCAGGACGCTGAGGCAGAAGAATCTCTCGAGCCCGGGAGGCGGAGGTTGCAGTGAGCCAAGGCTGTGCCACTGCACTCCAGTCTAGGCAACAAAAGTGAAGCTGTGACTTAAAGAAAAGAAACAAGGATTATTGTATCGTTTCTGGTGGCCTGTCCCAAAAGTGGCTAAAGTCTGAATCAAGCTGGGATTTCAGGAGGAAATATTCCTTCAAAGCACTTCCATGGGGCCCAGCACATGTTTCTTACAGAAGGACAGTGTAGACAGCTCAGAAGGGGAAGTTGCCTGGCCAGGGATCCAATCTCAAGACCCTGGATCAAGGGTGGACATCTGTGCATTCACCTGCCCATCATTTAGTCCTCTTTCTGGTAACAACTCCTAGACTTTCCTTTGAAGAACTACTCCCTGTGCTTCTCTCCTTACTCTCTGACTTCGTAGTTTTGGTAGAACTGACCACACCACCCACCCTCAGTTCCAAAGGTAGGTCATGAAATCCAAGCCTGATTTAATAGCACATTTCATTCAGTTGGCTGCAGAGGTCTATGGATAGGCATGTAGCCCAGGCCAGACCTTTGAAGACTGGCCTCACGACCTTTTCTGCACCTATAAAAAATAAGCTTTTTTCTTTCTATTGTGGTTGAAAATACAGCAAGGAATATATCTGCAACTTCTAGGGACCATTTTCCCCACTATGAGGAGAGCATCTGCTTGAGAATAAAGTGAACAGGGAGAAAAAGCAGAGAGAGAGAGAGACACAGATTTCCTACACTGCTATTTGAGCACCTAGATACATCCATGCCTGAAGCCACACCTCAGGGTTCTTCCAGTTATCTGTGCCAATAAATTCTTTTTGCTTCGGCAAGTTTGAGTTAGTCTTTCCTTTTTGCCTTCCATTTCAGAGAATTCTGATATTGTCTTTTTAACTTCTCCCCTATTCTGCCCTCTAGAGATATTTCTATCTTTGCCAGCCAATGCTTGTTTTTTTGTTATAAAATAAGGGCATTCGTGAATATTCATTGCAGCACTATTTACAATAGCAAAGACCTGGAACCAACCCAAATGCCCATCAATGATAGACTGGACAGGGAAAATGTGGCACATAAACACCATGGAATACTATGCAGCCATCAAAAACGATGAGTTCGTGTCCTTTGTAGGGACATGGATGAACCTGGAAACCATCATTCTCAGCAAACTGATGCAAGAACAGAAAATCAAACACCGCATGTTCTCACTCATAGGCGAGTGTTGAACAATGAGAACACATGGACACAGGGAGGGGAGCATCACACACTGGGGTCTGTAGGAGGGAAACAGGGGAGGGACAGCGGGGGGTGGCGAGTTAGGGAGAGATAGCATGGGGAGAAATGCCAGATATAGGTGAAGGGAAGGAAGGCAGCACATCACGCTGCCACGTGTGTACCTATGCAACAATCTTGCATGTTCTTCACATGTACCCCAAAACCTAAAATGCAATTAAAAAAATGGAAAAAAAAAAACAAGGGCAATAGTTAGAGGGAGATAAAACCAGATACCAGTATAAGATGAAGGTCTTTCCATGACAGAATCTAAAGCAAATAAAAGAATCTAAAAGAAAGCAGTGAGAAATGAAAGAGAAACGCCAAGAAGATGATATTTTAAAGGAATTGACAGGTAGGATTCGGGAATCAGGTTCTGAGAGAGGCTTGGGGGAACCCAAGGAATATTAGAAATAAATCCAAAGGAATATTAGAAAATATTAATGAATGTTATAATTTGGATTTTGCTTTGCTGAAATGATACAAGAGATCTATCAGTAAAGACTGAAATTGTTTACAATAACTTTTATCTCTTGTTGTGTTGGGCCATAGGAATCTAAGTTATGCCTGGGTTACACTGATAGTCTAGGAGACATTAATGGGCATTTGTAGATGCACATATAGACACACCAAATGCACATCGTATGTGCAAATGGATGGGCAAATGGAAGGCTGCACTCTAAATCCTCCTCTTAGAAAAAAACCACATTAGCATATTAAAAGTTCAGAGAAGTCCTGCAGCACAGAAACCTGTTTAAAGCTGTTTAATTCAATGCTTCCTAAACTTATTTTACCATGTCACAGAATATATTTTATTATTTAAAAAAATTTAAAATAACATATTTTTGAAATGCTTTTCTAAGATCTCCTGTCTCAAGAGTTCAGGAAAGGCTTCAGAGACGAAGTATGATATTCTAACTGGGATTTGAAAAATGGAGGAAATTGGGGAGGACTTTTTGAGTAGCTTCAAGATTGATGAGGCATACTTCCCTGGGTTTAAAGACAGAAAGAAAGGATGCCTTAACACTTTAATTTCTTTTCAGCAGGGAGAAATTGTCCCTATCTTAACTCTAAATAAGTGATCTTTAAAGTGAGGGCTGGGTAAGGCAGCTTCATGGAAGCAAGTAGCAGCTCACCTGTTTTGAACCATGCTCATGGCCATCCAGTCTCCAGGGTACACATTCTTCCCAATGAGGTCCTTGAACATGATAAAGGTCTCCATCAGGAAGTCCTGAAACAGTGAAGCACAGCACACATGTCATCCTGTTTTAAAGGAACCTGGAACTTGTTGCCTCTTTCCATTTTTTTCTGTATTATATTTTAGAGGGAGGAAAAGGGAAGGAACACAGCCTTTCATTAACTAAATTAAATGGAAGCTTAAAAGTTGAATGCTGGGATAGTGCTTCCCAAATAGCAGTGGAACATGAATATGGGATGTGAAAATGCTCTCAAAATAAAGCACTATTAATTCCATCTTTGGGCATAAAGAAGTAAATACTCATTGATGTGGCAATTTTATAATCATTTTCCCAAATATGTATTTGAAGAGGAAATAATCTACACTATATGAAAGCATCTCAGGTCATTAAGCAAACAAACTCCTATTAAAATGAACATCTAATTAGCAGTGCTGTAAATGCAGCTAATTCATATGTGTGTCACACACACACACACACACACACACACAGACGAGCAGATTAGAGGAGACACAGTGAAAGAAATTCTTCCTCTGAAGTGGACTTCAGCACCCTCCAGTAGATTTTGCAGTGAGCCAAACTTTTTCTCCATCTTTGGAGAACACAAATTAAAGACAAATCTGGATAGGTAAGACCAGCACCACTGGCACTGAGACCCTTTTGAGATGGAGGTAATGAAGTCATACCACCAGGGTGCTTTAGGCAAAATTTAAAATCTACAGGAAATCAGTTCAGAGTTGTTTCCTTAAGTTGGTAGTTTTCAAATTAACAGCAGAATTATTTGTTCAAACAAAGTCTTACCTGGAACCCAATATATATGATATATAAATGTAGAACAGCTCTGGTAGAATTGTGTGTCTGTGTGTGTGTGTGTGTGTGTGTGTGTGTGTGTGCATGTTTATGGTAAAGCAGAATGAGGACAGGAGGAACACAATTTGAAAATTACTGTTTTAAGCTAAATTGCAAAATTCTAGAAATGGCACTTGTTCCTTCCCAGCAATCTTTGTTGCTAGGGAAAACTACCTCAACACTGTGAGTCCTAGTTTCCACGTCAGCAGAATGGGGATAATATCTACTTCAAAGGGTGACTGTGAGGATTAAGTGCATACTGCCAATCACAGGCTGAGTACAGCCCTGGTCTCTTATAAATTCTCATTACATGATGATGATAATGGTGAGTATTATTATATTATTCATACTTGATGTCACCTGGGAAAGTGTGGATATCATCACAGGCACATCCCCTCCCTATGGAAATGAAGATCACCCCTGGCTCACAGATGGGAAGAGTAGCTTCTTAATGAGAAGAGGTAGCATTGTATAAAGGTTACAGTCAACGTCCAGACCTTACCTCCACCACATACTAGCTATCGAACCTTGAGCAGGCAGACCATAGACGTGTGAAATGTGACTCCTAATTCCTATGTCATACTTTTGTGAGGGTTATATAAGAAAATGTATATGTTCAATCAATAAGAATTCCATTTCTTACCTTCCTCCCCCAGAAACCTTTCCTTCCATAGAGGATCAAAAATTAGGAGCCCAGTGTTTCTACTTCCATGTCTTAAGATACAGGGAAATTGGAGGTTGAGTGAAAGGTTCCACTTCTTGCCAATCTTACTCCAATGGAGAGAACATCTCACTACTGAATGGATGAAGGGGTAGGGCATTGGCTTTCTAATGATTCATTTTTTTATGAGCCTCTCTCTGAGGTTTATCCAATTTTGGTGCCCCTCGTCTCTCCATGGAGAGTTGAGAGTGACTTCAACAAGTGAGACTCCTGAACCTGGTTGCAATGAGACAGTGAGAAAGGTGACCACACTGAGGGCAAAGGGTACTTTGCTCCACCCTTGGGGCAGGAACAGCCAGCCTGGGCTGGGCTCTATGTTAATGAGGTCATCTGCTGCAGAGATAGAAGCCACAGGCCACGGGCAGATGGTCTTGCAACAAATGCATCCTGAGAGGCTGGAAGAAGGAGGCCCAGAGGCCAACTTCCTCTAGGTATTTGTGATCTTAATAAGAGCTATATTTTACTGAGCATTTACTATGTAAGAGCTATTGTGTTTTCGTGGAACCCCTTCTTAGCCCTATGACACAAATGATATTATCCCTACTTTATAAATGGGGAAACTGAGGCTTAAGAGTGATTTGCCTGCCCATGGTCACACAGCTAGCAAGTGACAAATCCTAGATGCAAACCTAAGACTGTGTGATTCTAGCAGTCATGCTCTTAAAACCCAAAATGTCTGTGATTCATCAACAAACATTGGTTAAGTCATATCTAGATTATGTGATAGACATTCGGGTCTCTCTGACATAGACAGAGGCATGTGCCAGAGACAGAAGAGTTCTTCCTCACCCCCAGTATCCTACAGACTCACCACAAGTTCAGAGCTGGTCTGGAAGGTCTCAATGTAGAAGGAGTAGTGCTGGTCACCCATCTGGTTTAAGATGGCCGTCATACAGGCCACAAAGTGACTCTGCAAGAAATGAAGAAAAATACCATAAATAGTGGAGAAAGGACCATGGGAAACGTCCCTGTGAGAAAATGTCTCCTTATGGCTCATTCGTCAAAAAAGTGTTTACTGAATACTCTTATGTGCCTGGGACTGTAATGGGAGTGCCAAACATAAAGATAACACTTGATCCATTACCTCCCCTGCTGTTCTTACACTGAGGAAAGAGGACTGTACTTGTGTCAAGAAATCCAGCCTATATCAAAGTCATGAAGACAGTTTCATTTTATGACAAATAATTTTACATGTGTAAGTCCCAATTGTCTCATCTATCAAGTAGGACAATAATTCATCTGAATCTAACCCTACAGGAGTATCAAAAGAATCAGGTGGCTCCTTTAGCACCTTGAAATACACTAAAGTTCTCTGCAGAGGGATCTGTAGTTGGATCACCATGAATCAGCCAGTGGCAACTAAGTACCTGCTGGGTTGGCCTGGCACTTGGTAAGGGCTGAGAGGGACAAAAGAAATGAGAAGAGATAGCCCTTGATCTTTGTGAGTTCATGATCTATTCGGGAAAGATCAATCCATGAAAGAAAAAGAGTAAGACCCTCAATCTGCAAAGCCAACTAAGTACCAGGAAGATTCAAACAAGAGGGAAATCAAGGCAGGGACATGGAGAGGAGATCCTGGAGGCAGAGGAGACTCTACTAAGGTTAAGACATCAGTATAGCCTTTTCTGCTTCCTCTTTCCCAGATTTTATCAGTCTGTATCAGGGTGAGTTTTCTGTGTTTGCCAGCAGGATTCAGGGAGATCTATTCTGGAACCTGGTAAATAAAGAACTGCCCACGAATCCACCAAGGGTGAGAAGTCATTCTTGACTGTCTCTTGCAAGTTTCCACTGCAGCTGCCATCTTGGCCAAATGAAGTTCCACTGTGGTCCGCCAAGTGGACCGGCTTGTGGAAGATGACCTGGCTGGAAGTATTCTCTTTGAACTCCCAAAAAAGAAAATGCATTTTTATCATAAACTCCTGCCTTTTTCTAAAAAACTTCTCCTTTTATTAATAAAATAACACATATGAAATATATACAGGCATACCTTGAAGATATTGAGGGTTTGGTTCCAGACCATCACAATAAAGTGAGTATCACAATAAAGCTAGTCACATGAGCTTTTTGGCTTCTCAGTAAATATAAAAGTTATGTTAACACTATATTGTAGTCTATTAAGTACGTAATAGCATTATGTTTAAAAAAACATACACTTCATTTTGAGAACATAAACCTTAATTTAAAAGTACTTTATTGCTAAAAAATACTAACAATCATCTGAGCCTTCGGTAAATAGTAATCCTTTTGATGGGGGAGGGTCTGGCCTTGATGCTGATGTCTGCTAACTGATCAGGGTGGTGGTTGCTGAAGGCTGAGGCGGCTGTGGCAATTTCTTAAAAACAGACAACAGTGAAGTTTTCCATAGTGAAGTTTGTTTGTGGTGCCCTAAAACAATTATAATAGTTACGTCAAAGGTTACTATTATGGCGATCACAGATCGCCATAACAGTTTTAATAATAATGACAAAAATCTGAAATACTGCTTGAATTTCCAAATCATGATGCAGAGATATAAAGTGAGCACAGGCTGTTGGAAAAATGGTGCCAATAGCCTTGCTCAATGCACAGTCGCCAAAAACCTACACTTTGTAANAAAAAAAAAAAAAAAAAAAAAAAAAAAAAAAAAAAAAAAAAAAAAAAAAAAAAAAAAAAAAAAACAGGTACCTGTGAAGCATAATAAAACAAGATACGCCTGTATGTATACATACGTGTGCATATATTTCCTCCCAGGTTTACAATTTCATTCCTGTGGTAGAGAAACAGGAAGCCTTTTGGAAAACTGTTTCTTAAGCTGACACTCCCCAAAGTAGGTCCCATGATATGGATTCTCATTTGTTTCTAGGTTCTTTTCAATTGAGAAGTTAGGGATAGCATGCTTTCCTTGTCAGCGGGACCATGACTGGGTCCCACCTGTAATCTGTGGGACCCAGAGCAAAGTAAAAATGCAGAGCCCCTGTTTAAAATTATTCATTTAGTTCAAACAGCCACGGGAACCCTTCCAAGCAAGGGGCCTGGCGTGACTATGAAGGTCACACATCCAGGAAGCTGGTCCTCCCTGCCAAGTAACCACCACACCTGCCCACCATAAATGCCTAGAAAACATGCAAATCTGGCAAGAATGCAAAGCTGGGACTCTCAGGGGCAATGGCTTCGGTGATGCTTTATTGATGGGAACCTGTAGCCTCTACACTGGGTGGCACCTCCTTGAACATCCAGAGTCTAATTCTTTTTCCTACTCAGGCCCCCAGGGGGTGGTAGTGAGTGTGTGAAATTATCCCTTTCAAACTAGACAGAACACCACGGTCACTGCTAATTTAACCAGCTCCCACTTAAATCAAGAATTGACCAGTATTATTGTTTATACCTACAGCCAGGCCAAATGCAGGAAAGAAGAAACCTCAGCATTTGAGGGACACAGGAGTGTGTGTGTGTGCATGTATGTACACCTGCATGTGTGTGTGTGTATCTACACACACATACACAGAAGCGTGTGTTTCCTCTGCTCCCTCCACCTTTCCTCTCTCTTCCTTAAAGAATTCAGCCTGTGGCCACTAGAGGTCTTTTCTTTTCACATGGTAGCTGCTGAGCAGTTTGTTCGGCTTTTTATTTATTCCTACGTGAGCAGACCCACTACACTTCTTGCATATAAACAGTGAAAATTACAATATAAAGGACTTATTATCCCTTCTTTTGGAGTAATTCTGCTTCTGGTCAAAGCCTGGCTCACTGTACAAGGAAGGGGAACCATCCTCTGCAGGTAATTCCACTGCTTCAAGGTAAGAGATGTGGGTAGGTTTTATTTTTTATGATCGATGATCCTCTAAGAGAAAATACGATAGTCTCTTGGACAATACTTTACTTTTAAAGCTTTGGCTTAAATGAACAGTGAGACTGGGAGCTTGTATATGTGTGTGTGGTGGTATGTAATGAAAAATCCACCATTGTCAGAACTGCAGGCTGCCCCAAATGCATAGATTTGGAATGCTTGTGATTTCTAATGGCTTGATTTGAATTTGAAGGGGGAAAAAAAGCAAAGAAAACAAACCTCGGATCTCAAGTTGCCTGGAATTATCTTGAAAAGGATGCATTGTCTTAAGCCTTGTTTAGGGAAACTTCCATTCTTCATTGTAAAAGATAAAAAGCGAGGGGGATTCTAGTCCCCATCTAGAGAGAGTGGCTGTTTTATGAAAGAAACCATTATCTTTTTATTAGGAGTTGGTCGGTGTGTTGTAGTTCACTGATCAATCAAAATTACTTTTACCAGCTTGTTAATTTCTTAGGTCTCATTACCACGTAGCAAAACCCGGTTGCATGCCTTTCAGTACGATTTGTAGTGCAATGTGACTGAAGTTTGGACAAGTTACCTGCATTTGGCTGTTAATGAAAAATGACAGCGTTTTATTTCCAACTAAAAGCATCTTTTTTTTTTCTGCTATGGTGTCTAGCCCACTTTGGTATCAGATCTGTGGGAAATCACACCAATGTGACTGATTGATACCTGAAATGGAGTGAGACAGTAGCAGCAGCTTTGTATTCAGAAAAGTCTCGTTTCTGTCATTTGGATTTTTAAAACCACCTCTTTGTCACACAGCAATAGAATAATGGAATAACATTTTGCTTCTCTGATGTGGGTCTCTTTTTCAGTAGTTTCCCCCAAAATGGTATTATGTCCTGCACCTCTGTACAAGCTTGAGACCTTACTTTCATGTCTATCATGTCTTAAATTTTTAAAAGGAGACAGGAATAGAGGATGGAGCATGATCAGATTGCATTTGCCCTAGCAGCTTAGCCCTAACACAAACGTTGCTCGAACTTTATAGTGTAGGATCTCAAACTCCCAGTCTTGTCAGAAACCTGGAAAAGCCTGAATACTGCATGGGAAACAGAGTGGTGGAGAGATCCCTTGTAGTCTCCATGCTAGCGAGAATTCCCCTCTTTTCATCCCTGGCAGAAATTTTGTAATCGACATATTTACTACCTAGGAATGAGGCAGCCACTCATCCTTACCCAAGCAGCATGCCAGGATGGGAAATTGCTTCTTAAAACAGAATTCCAGAGAGACTTGCATATTTAATTCCAGAGAGAAATTATATCCGAGACTCTGGCACAAACCAGGCAGTGTCACTTCGCTCCAATTGGGGTGGTTTAAAATGTGGCTAATGAATCACAGCATGAAGAGACACGGTTTGAAACTAGGTCAAACGTGTAAAAATAAGTGCAATCATTGCAGGCACTTGGCTGATGAGGGGCTACTTAACACCCTGAGTGGCAGGTCTTATTTGCTGTATAGAACTCTACTCGGTGATACAAGACAATCCATCCTCTTAATTAATTCAGCCCATCGGGATGTAGGGAGGTCTTTCTTGCACACTTGGAAGCTCCAAAGGAAAAGGGTGAGGTTTCTTCACTGTGTGATGATGAGGGAGGAAAAGAGAAATCCAATATTGTGTGATCAAAATTAATTAGCTAGGATCCTAGGTGATTGAGATCAGGAAATTAGCTCTCCCCAAATCATTCCATTCTTTTCCATTAAAAAAGTCATCATCATCATCGTAATCATATTGATAATGCCAATAGTTTTAGTGTATAATATTCAACTTAAACATATTTGTTTAACAATCTCTAATGCAAACACATCTATACACACACACACACACACACACACACACACACACACCCCACAGCCAGGACCCCTGTGATGCCAAGTGAACTGAGGAAAAGGCTACCAGTTTTCACTGCCTTGGGAAACAGACAAAAAAGGGGTGAGGGGCATGGGTGCTGCTCATGCATCCCCCACTCACCTAAGATTAGTAGGAGTGATGAGATCGTAGAGGGAGAGAAACACCCAACTTCGGAAGCTTGCTACCTAAATGCCAACATTACTATGTGATACCAGCTGGTGACACGTTG